TTCCAGTATCTCAGGGGCTGCCCCAAAGAAGAGGGAGTCAAGCTCTTCTCCAAAGCCCCTGAAGGCAGGACAAGAAGCAATAGTGGAAACTAACCAAAGAAAGAAGCAACCTAGAACTAAGGAGAAACTTCCTGACAGTTAGAACAATTAACCAGTGGAACAACCTGCCTCCAGAAGCGGTGAATGCTCCAACAGTGGAAGTTTTTAAGAAGAGACTGGACAGCCATTTGTCTGAAATGGTACAGGATTTCCTGTCTGAGCAGGGGGTTGGACTAGATGACCTCCAAGGCCACTTCCAACTTTATCCTTATTATTATTATTATGGATCATCACACAGTCAGCCAGATGTTCAGACTGGATTTGGCATTTTGTCTACCTATCGAGTCCTTACTCAGGACCTGGCATAGGCAGATGTGGATGTTTGATGGTATTACAGATATCGTTGCAGGATGGAAGCAGTTCCTAGTAAGGCCACCTTTTGCAATTGACTAATAGCGAATTTGTCAATGCCAATGGTGTTCAAGTGGTGCTCCAGTTGTTTTGGGATTGCACCCAAGGAGCCTATGACTATTGGTACTACCCTTGCTTGCTTTTGCCACAGTCTTTCTATTTCTATTTGTAGGTCTTTGTATTTTGTTATCTTCTCCAGTTCTTTCTCGTCTATTCTGCTGTCTCCAGGCACTGCCACGTCCACTATCCAGACTTTTTTGTCTTTCTTATCGACAATTGTTAAGTCTGGGGTGTTATGTTGCAGGTGCTTGTCTGTTTGAATTCTGAAGTCCCAGAGCAGTTTAATTTTATCATTTTCTATGACTTTCTCTATTTTATGATCCCACCAGTTTTTGCTTACAGGCAAATGGTATTTTTTGCAGATCTTCCAATGCACCATTGTTGCTACTTTGTCATGCCGCTGCTTGTAATCAGTTTGTGCAATCTTCTTGCAACAGCTTACCAAGTGGTCCACTGTTTCTTCAGCTTCTTTGCATAGGCGGCACTTACTGTCTGTTGCTGTCTTCTCAATTTTGACTTTGTATGCATTTGTCCTTAAGGCTTGGTCTTGTGCAGCCAGATTATTATTATTATTATTATTATCATTCATCGCACAGTCGGCCAGATGTTCAGACTGGATTTGGCATTTTGTCTACCTATCGAGTCCTTACCCAGGACCTGGGATAGGCAGATGTGGATGTTTGATGGTATTACAGGTATCGTCGCAGGATGGAAGCAGTTCCTAATAAGGCCGCCTTTTGCAATTGACTAATAGCGAATTTGTCAATGCCAATGGTGTTCAAGTGGTGCTCCAGTTGTTTTGGGATTGCACCCAAGGAGCCTATTACTATTGGTACTACCCTTGCTTGCTTTTGCCACAGTCTTTCTATTTCTATTTGTAGGTCTTTGTATTTTGTTATCTTCTCCAGTTCTTTCTCTTCTATTCTGCTGTCTCCAGGCACTGCCACGTCCACTATCCAGACTTTTTTGTCTTTCTTATCGACAATTGTTAAGTCTGGGGTGTTATGTTGCAGGTGCTTGTCTGTTTGAATTCTGAAGTCCCAGAGCAGTTTAATTTTATCATTTTCTATGACTTTCTCTATTTTATGATCCCACCAGTTTTTGCTTACAGGCAAATGATATTTTTTGCAGATCTTCCAATGCACCATTGTTGCTACTTTGTCATGCCGCTGCTTGTAGTCAGTCTGTGCAATCTTCTTGCAACAGCTTACCAAGTGGTCCACTGTTTCTTCAGCTTCTTTGCATAGGCGGCACTTACTGTCTGTTGCTGTCTTCTCAATTTTGACTTTGTATGCATTTGTCCTTAAGGCTTGGTCTTGTGCAGCCAGAATTAGTCCCTCGGTCTCTTTCTTCAATTTTCCTGCTCTTAGCCATTGCCAGGTTTTATTATTATCTGCTTTCCCAGCTATTTTTTTCATGTATTGGCCATGTAGTGCTTTGTCTTCCCATGCCTCTATTCTGTTCTTCATTTGGTCTTTCTTGTAGGCCAGTTTGGTCTCTCCAGTAGTTAGTAAGCCTTCCTGATATACTAATTTCAGTGCATCTTCATCATTGTTCTTCAGATATTCTTCCAAAGCCATTTTTTCTTCTTCAACCATCTGATGTACTTGTAGCATTCCACGCCCACCTATTTGCCTTGGTAGATAAAGTCTATCAATGTCACTGCGTGGATGAAGGGCATGATTCATTGTCATTATTTTTCTGGTCTGCCTATCCATTGCTTTTAGTTCTGCTTGAGTCCAGTCCACTATTCCAGCTGTGTACCTAATGACTGGGATTGCCCAGGTGTTGATTGCCTTTATGGTATTTCCTCCATTGAGTTTGGATTTTAAGATCTTCTTCACTCTCTTGATGTATTCACCTCTAATCTTTTTCTTGACTTCAGTGTGCTTGATGTTGTCAGCTTGAAGGATACCCAAGTATTTGTAGTACTCTTCCTCATCCAGACTCTTAATGTTATTTTCGTGGGGCATCTTGATTCCTTCAGTTTTCACTATTTTTCCTTGTTTGATAGTAAGTGTGGCACATTTGTCCAAGCCAAACTCCATTACAATATCTTGGCTATATATACGGACAGTGTTGAGCAGCGATTCTATTTCAGATGATGTTTTTCCATACAGCTTCAGATCATCCATGTAAAGGAGGTGGGATAGTCTGGCAGATGTTTTTGATGTTTGATAGCCATGTCCTGAGTTATTCAGTATTGTTGACAGAGGAAACAGTGCAATAACAAATAGTAATGGTGATAATGAATCTCCTTGAAATATTCCTCTCTTGATATTAACCTCTCCCAGCTTTTCACCATTGATCTGCAACTGTGTCTTCCATTGTGCCATCGATCTTTGCACAAATTTTCTGATGTTTCTACTGACTCCTGTTATTTCTAGGCACTTGATTATCCAATCATGTGGCAGAGAGTCAAATGCCTTTTTGTAGTCAATCCATGCCACATTCAGGTTGGTCTTCCTTCTCTTGCAGTTTTCCAAGATCATTTTGTCTATTAGGAGTTGATCTTTTGTTCCTCTGCTATTGGGGCGGTTTCCTTTCTGCTCAGGTGGAAAGAGATTGTTTTCAACTAGATGCTGTTGTACTGCATCAGCTACCACACCAGTTAGTAATTTGAAAGTTGTTGGTAAGCAGGTAATTGGCCTGTAGTTACCTGGTGTTGCCCCTTTTGCTGGATTTTTCATTATTAGGTAGGTTTTCCCAGTTGTTAGCCACTTTTCAATTTCTCCTCCTTGTAGTATATTGTTGAATTGCTTGGCAATGAGTGGGTGTATAACAGTTAGATGTTTCAACCAAAACCCATGCAGTTCATCTTCACCAGGTGCTGACCAATTTTTGATTTTCTTTGCTCTTTTTTCTACCATTTTTGTTGTTATTACTAGTTCTTTCATTTCAACTTCTGTTTTATTTGCATCCACCTCTTTTAACCAAGCTGCATCCTTGTTGTATTTCTTTGGGTTATCCCATATCTGCTTCCAGAACTGCACTGTTTCTTCCTTGTCAGGTACTGACTGATTCCTTGCAGTTTCTCCATTGATGGATTGGTAGAAACGTTTCTGATTGGATTGAAATTGGAGGTTCTGCCTATAGTTTGCAATTCGAGCTTCATATCTACTGATTTTCCTGGCTATAGCTGTTATTTGTTGCTTTATTATTTCCAGTGCTTCCTTGATCTTCCTTGTTTCTAAGTGGTATTTCTTGATTAGGTATTCTTTGGTCTTCTTGTTCTTCAGCTTCTTTTCTTTCATCTGTTCTAGCTTGCTTGCATGTGATCTTAACTTGCTGATCTTATTTTCTAGTCTAACCTTCCATTTTTGTGGTGCACTGTTTGTTTGTTTTTCTTTTTTGTTGATTTTACATCCCAGGTATTCTGTTATAACTGCAGCTGTGCTGTACATTAGTTGGTTTGTTTCTTGCAGTGAATTGGTGCTTATACTTGCTATTGCAGTATTTGCATCTTTTAATGCTTGTGCTAGCTGTTTCTTTGGAACAGCTTCAATGCAGGCAGCCTTATTCTGTTGTTTTTGTGCTGTTCTAGATGCTCAATTATTCTTTGTTTCAATTCTTTTATTTCTTTAGTTAGAGGGTTTTGTTCTTCCTGAGGAAGAGGTGCCTGGTTTCCAAATGAGAACAGTTGTATATCTCTACTGGATTCTTTCACTGCCAACTCCCCCTGGTTTGCCTCTACATTCTGAATTACTTCTTGTAAGGCTTTGATTTCTTTGCCCTGGGTAAACCTTTGCAGTTCGTCCAATTCTGTTTCTGTAAATACTTTATTTCGTGTTATAAATCGGCGTTGATCTGCTAGTCTCTGTTCTGTTATTTCTGATTCTGGATGTTGTTCTTTCCAGAATTGGTGCATTCGTTTTAGATATCCTCGTCTTGTTGGACTTGATCTGTAGTAACAGATCATTATTTCTTTGTTTTCCATCACTGTGTATCTGCGACGGGTAAACACCTTTTCTTCCAGTAGTTCTGCAGCTGCTGGCCCTGGTTGCTCAGCCAACAGTCCTGAGTCCTGTAACCCATTTTTCACCAGATATCCAGGAACTCCAATATCTAGTGCGGACCTTGTTAACCCGGGCGACGTCCGAGCCGGTATGGCATTCTGAAATTTACGTCTCACCATATTTTTTATGGGAGAGACACTCTTTGTCTGACTCCTCTGATGAGACCTGTCCAGTATGGTTGAACCTCTGGCATAGCTCTCATCTTCCTCAGAGTACACAAGCCCCACAACCACGTCAAGGTAGTGCCTCACTAGGGGTATTATTATTATTATTATTATTATTATTATTATTATTATTTCTGCACACTCTAGAATTTTCTTAATTAGTACTTCTTCAGCTGGTAAGTTTTCATTTTTCCAGTGTTGGGCAAATACAATTCTGGCTGTTTTTTCCCCCAGTGACTTCCTGGATCTCATTCCTGGTTTTGTTTTGTTTTTTTCTCTTTATTTCTTGTTTTTTGGCTTCTGCAGATCCGCATCGATGGTCCCATCAAAGGAGCTTTGGAGTATGAAATAGTCCAAGTGACCGACTCGGGACCGATCCTAAGGGATATGGACTTCTCGGTGGATCACAAGCACCTGTACGTCATGTCGGAAAAACAGGTGAGCTGTGCGCCTTTTTTCCGGATCTAGTTTCATGCGAGAGATGCGTTTTGCTCCTTAAGCGAAGAGAACGCGGTCTTGTAGACGCGTGGGGAGATCGCAAACGAGTTTCAGATGATCCCAGTTTTGATCCCGTCTTTAAAAAATCTCTCCTTTTTTTTCCACTGGGCTTTTGTCCCACCCTAGAAAAAAAAAATCAGAAGATGTTTCTGAGGTGGTGATTGGATGTCTGGGATGATATGAGAAGTTGAGATTGCTATAATACGTCGTAAAAAAACTCATTTCTTCCGCCAAGGTGTTATTCAGGCAGTCCTCAACGATCGCAATTGAGCCCAGCGTTTCGGTCGTTAAGTGAGACATTTGTTAAGTAAATGTTTGCCCCATTTTTATGACCTTCCTTGCCACTCTTGTTAACTGAATCCAGTTGTTAAGTGAGTCACATGGATGTGAATAGAATAGAAAAGAATAGGAAAGAATAGAGTAGAGTAGAGTAGTGTAGAGTAGAGTAGAGTAGAGTAGAGTAGAATAGAATAGAATAGAATAGAATAGAATAGAATAGAATAGAATAGAATAGAATAGAATAACAGAGTTGGAAGGGATCTTGGAGGTCTTCTAGTCCAACCCCCTGCTCAGGCAGGAAACCTTGTACCATTTCAGACAAATGGTTGTCCAGTCTCTTCTTAAAAGCCTCCAGTGATGGAACATTCACAGCTTCTGGAGGCAGGTAGTTCCACTGGTTGATCGTTCTCACTGTCTGGAAATTTGTCTTTAGTTCCAGGTTGCTTCTCTCCTTGATCAGTTTCCATCTGTTGCTTCTTGTCCTGCCCTCAGGTGCTTTGGAGAATAGGTCTCCTGCCTGAGCAGGGGATTGGACTAGATGACCTCCAAGGTCCCTTCCAACATTATTATTATTGCTGTAGTTGTTATCATCATCATCATCATCATCATTATTCTACTCGACTCGACTCTACTCTGTTCTGTTCTATTCCATTTTCTATATTCTGTATTGTATTGTATTCTGTTCTATTCTGTTCTATTCTATTCTATTCTATTCTATTCTATTCTATTCTATTCTATTCTATTCTATTCTATTCTATTCTTTCTATTCTATTCTATTCCATTCCATTCCATATTTTCTATTCTATTCTATTCTATTCTATTCTATTCTATTCTATTCTATTCTATTCTATTCTATTCTATTCCATTCCATATCTATTCTATTCTATTCTATTCTATTCTATTCTATTCTATTCTATTCTATTCTATTCTATTCTATTCTATTCTATTTCCCCAATATTTATTCTATTCTATTCTGTTCTCTTTTGTTCTATTCTACAGGTATATCTATCTCCTATCCTATCCTCTATCCTCTATCCTCCATCCTCTATTCTATTCCATTCTGTAATTCTATTCTATTCTATTCTGTTCTGTTCTGTTCTGTTCTGTTCTGTTCTGTTCTATTCTATTCTATTCTATTCTATTCCATTCCATTCCATTCCATTCCCTATTTTCTATTCTGTTCTGTTCTGTTCTATTCCATTCCATTCCAAGGTCCTTTCCAACTTTGTTATTCTGTTCGTGGCTCAGCCTGTTGTCCATTTTGAAAACTCGGAAATAACCAAAAAGGGTGAAGCACATCTGGCTTTCTTTAAAAGAGCAGAACACAAGGGATTGTGTGATTGTCTCAATTAGGAGAGAGGCCCTTCAAATTTATTCCTTAGCTGGAAGTGACAGAGTCAATTGGGGATCATAGGACTTTTCTGCCAGAGGTCCTGCATCTTAGACTTTCCCTGCTGATTAAGCACATTTCACGCCTTGGGTTATTTCTCAAAAATAATGAAGTGGGATAAAAAAAAAAAACCCAATGGGACAATGCAGCTGTGTTCTGATATTTGAAACAAATACACGTTGGTTTATTTCCCAACTTTATTATTATTATTTTGATAAATAACTCAAGGCAGCTTTTTAAAAAATGCTCCTTTCTTCTCGCGTTTTCCCGAAAACAACAACCTTGTGAGGTGGGTTGGGCTGAGGGACAGGGACTGGCCCAAGGACACGAAGTTGCCTTTCACGCTTAAGAGGGGACTAGAACTCACCGTCTCCTGGTGATTGGCCAAATGTCACTCAGCTCGCTTTCAGGGCTAAGGTGGCCGTCCAGTCTCTTCTTAAAAACTTCCAGTGTTGGAGCATTCACAGCTTCTGGAGGCAGGTTGTTCCACTGGTTAATTGTTCTCACTGTCAGGAAGTTTCTCCTTAGTTCCAGGTTGCTTCTCTCCTTGATTAGTTTCCATCTGTTGCTTCTCGTCCTGCCTTCAGGTGCTTTGGAGAATAGCTTGACTCCCTCTTCTTTGGGGCAGCCCCTGAGATACTGGAAGACTGCTCTCATGTCCCCCCTTGTCCTTCTCTTCGTTAAACTAGACATACCCAATTCCAGCAACCGTTCCTTATATGTTTTATCTTCCAGTCCCCTGATCGTCTTTGTTGCTCTTATCTGCACTCTTTCTAGAGCAGTGGTTCTCAACCTTTTTAATGCCGCGACCCCCAACCGGTCGTAAGTTGAGGACTACTCAACCAGTCGTAAGTCGAGGACTACTCAACTGGCGCAGCACCGTTTGCAGAATGGGACTTTTGGCGGGCTCAGCAGGGCAGAGACAGCCTGGACAATTCCTATTGGCTTTTGAAAGCCAATAGAATTAGACTCTATTCAAGAGAGTCTATTCTATTGGCTTTCAAAAGCCAATAGAATAAAAAGGAGTAGCAAAGCTAAGGAAAAGGGAGGGAAAAATGGCGGACTGCGTTGTTTGGCGACCCCCGTGAAATGGTCATTCGACCCCAAATGGGGTCCCAACCCACAGGTTGAGAACCACTGGTCTAGCGTCTCAACATCTTTTTTACATTGTGGTGACCAAAACTGGCTGCAGTATTCCAAGTGTGGTGTTACCAAGGCCTTGTAAAGTGGTATTAACAGTTCACGTGATCTTGATTCTATCCCTCTGTTCATGCAGCCTAGCACTGTATTGGCCTTTTTGGCAGCTGCAGCACACGGCTGGCTCCTATTTAAGTGATTGCCCACTAGGACTCTGAGATCCCTCTCACAGTTACTACTATTGAGCAAGGTACCGCCTATACTATACCTGTACATTTGGTTTTTCTTGCCTAAATGTAGAACCTTGCTTTTTTCACCACTGAATTTCATTTTGTTAGTTAGTGCCCGGTGTTCAAGTCTGTCCAGATCCTTCTGTATCTTAAGCCTGTCTTCTGGAGTGTTGGCTATTCTGCCAGCTTGGTGTCATCTGCAAATCTGATGATTTCCCCATCTATCCCCTCATCCAAATCGTTGATGAAGAGGTTGAAGGGTGAAACTCTTCAAAGAACTTCGAGGCATTATTTACCTTAAAGAATCTTTATTTGAGTAGCATAGCATTGGCACTAACATAGCCAAAAAACTGAGTTCCCCTCCCCTGAGCACATAGTATCCAAGCACAATTCCCTCCCCCAATTCACAGTCATAAATCACATTCCCCAATTAGCTTGAAATGCAGGCTTCCCGTCCAGTTCTCCAGCCCGCCAATTCTTATCCTCTCTTATTTCAATAACCTTGGTTCTCATGCTAGGTCCAGTATTGTTATGTCTAGCTAAACTTTCATGCACATTCCTCCCCCCAGCGTCATCTAACTCTAACTCTAAGTGTAAAACATAAGAAGAAAAGGGTTTGCTTCTCCATCTGTTGTCAAAAATAGCAAAAACATCTGATGTTAGCAGCACTGACACCCGGATTCTCTTGTTGTTTTTTTCTTTGCCCGCGGCGGACGTCCATCCATCAAACGGCAGACTGTCAAAAAAGGGGGTACCATTTCATCCATTTGTCTTCATTAGAGGCCTGGTCAGAAGGTACAACTCACTAGTGGCCCTGAGAAAAGAACAAATGGCTCCACATTTGCTTCCCTTTTGCTTTCCTTTCTTTTTTACGGCCCACATTTTGCATAAATGGCTATTTTATGCCGGCTGGGATCCCTTCTCCCTGTCAGCTGCCGTCCGTCCTTTTTTTGCAGCCTAAGTGTTTGATTTGTCTTCGTTTGGCTGCGGCGAGGAGGCAGAAGTGCGATTAGATCGAAAGGACGCGAAAGCCAGGCTGAGGGGTGACCTGCCAAAAAGGGATAGGGGCCAGGAGGGCAGTGGGCAGAGTTGAGGGTGCCCCCCCAAAAAAAGGTGTATGGCTATTGCAAGCGTCTGGCAAAGGTGAAGAAAATAAAATAAATAAAATAAAATGTTTAGTTAATGGAAGGCTTTCAGAAGAGCAGTGAAGATGATAATATCTGTCTCTCTGGCCATCTATCCATCCAACCATCCAATATTAATCTGCATCTGTCTGTCTGTCTGTCTGTCTGTCTATCTATCTATCTATCTATCTATCTATCTATCTATCTATCTATCTATCTATTTCTATCTATCTATCAATCAATCACCTACCTACCTACCTACCTATCTATCCTTCTGTCTAATCTGTCTGTCTGTCTGTCTGTCTGTCTGTCTGTCTGTCTGTCTATCTATCTATCTATCTATCTATCTATCTATCTATCTATCTATCTATCCCTATGCATCCTTCTATCCATCCAACCATCCATTAACTATTTCCTTCTTCCCTCCCTCCCTCCCTCCCTTCCTTCCACTCTCCATCTCTCTCTCTCTCTCTCTCTCTCTCCATCCATCCATCCATCTATTATACAGGACAGGACAGGACAGAATAGAATAGAATATTCTTTGTTGGCCAAGTGTGATTGGACACACAAGGAATTTGTATCCACAGCATACATTCTCAGCGTACATACAAACAACAATGATGAATCATTATCATAATCATAAAATACAATTATATATCAAGATACAAACTCAGTGATACATAGGATAACTATTATCTATCTATCTATCTATCTATCTATCTATCTATCTATCTTGTATCATTTCTCTGTCTGTCTGTCTATCTTTCTATCTGTCAGTCT